TTGGTATTATTTCATATCGAAATTTCTTCACTGTAGTAACTTATTCTTGTTTAGAAGATGGTCTGAACAAAGAATATTCTTCTCGAAATATTTCATTCAGGTTGTTAAAGTTAGTTATACGGTAACGATAACGGCAGGGTATACTACGGATACAGTTTTAACTTTGAATAACAGATTAGTTATGGGCTGACGAAATAAGGGGTATTTCTGTGACAAATGTGGCGAGTTGATTGTAAATACAAAGATGGTATGAAATGGATGAAGACGACACGTATTCATAATAGAAAGATTCGACGTAAGGAGTGAAGGTTGACCAGTTAGCTCAAAGGCGTTTAACAGGCTTGTTGAGTGGCTGTACACATAGACAGTGGGCTTTTAAACAGGTTACAGTAAGATTGTAGTTGGTAGTTTATCATGGAATAGTCAATGTTTGAAGTGTGTAGGGTAGTGTGATATCTCGGGAAAAGAGATGATATCACCGACAGTGAAGTGCAACAGCTTGTTAGTGTCAGACTGCAAGACAGATGAGAAGGCATAACATTGAGGCGCCAGGAATACGTGAGAACAGATGAAATGGAAGTGGACTCTGCAAAGTCTTAACTGGATAGTCAGGAATCTACTGCTGTCACCCAGACGACAACCACCAGCACACTGAGGCAGTGAGTGGCTATGGCGATATGACCAGTGGCAGCCAAAGCCCTTATGCAGTGAGAACCAGTCTCATCCTGTGGGATTATGACAGCAAGATTCAAAACAAAAGGGAGGAAGGAAGGAAGGAAGGCTACAATCTTCCAATGCTACGTGTCTACAAGCATCTCAGAACAAGAGAAGAGGAAAGATTTCTAAAGACAGCTGAGAACCGTTGTGGGTGAGATCACGATTGGCAGCATGATTTCTAAACTGTGAACAAACAACACAGAGAGAGAACTGACCATGGGTCGAAGGGATCTCAGCAAAATATATGAGAATGAAGAACTCTTCACAGACTCCTGAGAATTCACTGATTCGGTGATTGGAGGCGGTGTGTTTAAGCGTGAGGATGAGCACAAGGCGATATGTGTTTCATCATTTCGAGACACGGGAAATCAGATCGGTCTCTTTTCAATCTGAAGGAGTTGGCGATACAGCTCACCGGACACAATATCGGTAATAGGAGGAGATGTCGTCCCGGGCCAATATTTAGTGCTATTAACCTTCATGATCAGGTTGACGGCCTTCAATATGTAAACTTTCGCAGTCAGTCATCTACAATCAAAATCGTGTGTCTGTGGACAATCAGTCAATAGTAAACAATTGGTGGATGGTGGCTAGCAGTGGAATCCAGGATGCGCATTTCGTCCTATTTGGGACTCGTCAGCTGGATGTACCTGCATTTCTCAGTGAGTGATGATGTTCCCACCGAGGCTCGAACCCAGTACCCATAGTTTCAAACGCCAAAGCGTTATCCACTAGACCACTTGGGCCACGAGAGCCACCTCTTGTGCAACGGTTCATATTAATTATTGAATTGAGACCGAGCACTTCGGTCCAATCAATCGACGGGAAAATCAAAAATTCAATTCAATAATCAGTCAATAGCTTTCTTAGAATCCTTATCTCATATTGTGTTTCAGACAATCAGCACACTTCATTAGATTCACATAAGAAATATTACTGACTCTTCCGAAGAACTCATACAATCTCTAATCGTTCATTCAAAAATATCTATCTCTTAGAGACCTCAGGTGTCTCCCTAGAAATTTCAGTGCAAACCTGTGTGTGATTTTGACGTCATCACTTTATTTATAAATAGTGTACAGTACGGAACTCCTGTGTATTTCAGGTGCTTGTCGATGTGTGGCGTAAAGTGTGGAAGCTCGTTAATTCGAAATAGAGAACTGTTGTAATTCATCATGTGGAATGTTTGAAATGCAGTCTGAGCAAGGAAACTTCTTAGACGCGAAATAGCATTTCAGAGTTGAATGAAATTTTCGTTTGAAAATGCATTATGTGGACTATGCTCGTGACAGTTGACCAATACACACACAGACTTTTATAAGTTACTACCGCTTGTCTGTAGTAAAGTAGGGTAATTATTCTGTGGAATTAAAAGCTCAAGTTTATATTAAATCAACTCACACAGACCAAATCTTGAGTTACCACAGCAACCATCCAATAAAACACAAAGGGAATTGCATGGCAACACTATACAAGAGGGCGAAGACTCATTGCAGCACTCCCACTTTAATGAATATTGAATAAAGATATATCATGGATGTCTTCCAAAAGAATGGATATCCACGAAATATCATCAAAAGACATATACCTCCAAGCCAACCTATCAAGCCAAAAGCCCCTAAGGAAAGCACAAAGAAAGTCGCCTCATCATATATAAAGGATATCTCAGAAATCACTACAAGACTCTTCAAACCTTTAGGCGTCAACGTCGTACACAAACCAACAAAGTCACTTCACTCAATTCTATGTCAACCAAAAGACTCAACAGCGAAAGAAGATAAAATCAACATCATCTACAAAATAAATTATAACATTTGCGAAAAACTCTACATTGGTCAGAGTGGACGTCTTTCTTAAAGTTTATAAATTATCAAGAGGATAGTTGCGTTTGTGAACAATACGACAACACCCAGTTTATAAACTCCGCCATAAAAAAACGTTTATTAAATTTATTTGCTTTTCCAATAGTGAAGCTATTCATACTTTATAACTGAAAAAAGAAGTGATGAGTATTTTGTGCATTTTTGACCTTATTTTTGTGATAAAAGGGTGGTAAATGTTAAAATACCTTCATTTTATAAATGTTTGACTGTATATATTTTGTTGCCAAGAGACAGTTGACCATAGCAACAAGCGAAACTATTGTGGACAGATGTGTATAACTTCGAATAGTTAAGGTAAATAAATACTGTTATTATGAATAATTTTCAAGCTTTAGTTTGCAGGAATTTGATTCGTTATAGGTCTGATTACGAGCCTGCTTCAGTCAGGGATTGTTGAACGGCTGTTTCATCCTAGTTCAAGACTCTTGAGAAGCATGCATCTATTGCGGTTCGAACCGACAGTCTTCAATTTACAAGGATACCTCAAATACCAATCAAATCCTTTCAAACGAATACCTGAAAATTATTTTGGTGCTCACTAGCAACGGGCTGTATACAGGAAGTTTTAGTGGAAATTCCTGGCCAGTAGGTTCCACCAAGTCAGGACAGCTACTCGCCGATGACATTGGATGGGGATGGCATTATATATATATATATAACATCACAAGTTGGCAGAAGTCGGAGTCCACTGGACATTCGACTGCACTGCCAGTGTTTAAACAGTCTCCGAGCTCGCTCTGTAGCTAGACGATCCCATGTTCAGCCGAACAGACCCAAACTAAAATGAAACAGCTGTCCATTACTCCTTGGTTTTCCAGTGATACTCTAACTGATTTCAGCTTATGATGAAACATGTAATCAATATGAATTATTGTTTCCTAATTTCAGTTCACCTGAACTATACGCTTGTTAATGAAGAGACCTTCAGGTGCGATAGTTTTCTTCTAACTGAATAATTACCCTGCTTATTATAGTTCCCACACAGCAAAGTTACTGGCAATTACGCTACTGCATAATTTAATAATAATGTTAGAGATAAGTTGTGATACCTTTATCACTTCGATAGCTTAACGTTTCACACAGTAGACTGATACATTGCGACAGCTGTTTTGTATCAATAATTTTCTCAGACTGATTAATAGGAAATAGAGGCGTAAATCTCAGAATACATAGGCTATAAGGGAAAATTTCAAGGAACAGTCTAGTCCACTTCTAGCGCCAAGTAAATACTGTAGCATTGCAAACGGTATTTATAATCTAAGATCAAAATTTGCTTCAAAAAGAGATTTAAACTAGAAGAGCTTGACTTTGAATTCCATGAAATTTTTGAATGGATTATCAATCAGTATATTTTTTAGTCTGAAGTGAAGTGAAACTGTGCTGTTTGTTCGCTGGACTTCAGTTTGAAATATTACAAATAAGGCGACTTTATTTCATTTCTCTGAATACTGAATGGTATATAGGGCTTCCAGCTTTGAATGTTCAGATATTCTGATGCTTTTTTCATAGGGTGGGATTAAGAGGCTCACTCCCAGCCTTCCTTTTTTTCCTAGCCTACTACAGGCTAGTAGACTAGACCAGGCTTATGAGCCAGTCAGTCGGGAATTAGACCTAGATCTGTCAAGCACAATTACTACTGAATCACAGATGTAAAAAGTGACTGAGAAATTCAGATTTATTTCGAGCCAGTAGGAGTTGGAAAACGCAGGCTATCTCAGTTTAGGTCTGTGTTATTTTTGCAAAGTTTGATGTTCTAGGCATGCACCGTTGAAGAATCCCTCAAAAGAACGAAACGACTATTTTCAGTAGTTCTTTAACTCATTTCAGTGCACAAAAGGCACTAGTATAAATTTCTACCGATTCATTTAGGCATAAACATAGTAATTTAGCTTCATCTATGCTTAAATTCCCACTACTGAATGCTCAATGAAGTGTATAACCTGAGTTGCTCAAGGTTATAATTCTATAACTTATTAGTTTACTGTTAAAAATCTATCGGTATAAGAATATGATGTAGATTGATTAATCACCTGAGAGTAATCAACTTCATGTTGTCTAGCTGTTAGTATTGACGAAATTATATTGGTTGGAAGATTTCATCATGATATGGCATCGGCTAGAGAGCCAACGGAAAGCCCAGAAGTACTGGACAGCTGTTTCATCCTAGGTTGGGACTCTCCATCAGTACGCATCCACCGCCAGGGTTCAAACCCAGGACCTTTTGGTTACAAGGTCAATTTCCGAAATGCAGTTAGCAAACTAACAGTTTCATCATCTCGGCATACTTTAGTGCATATATGACTTTAGAAAGCCTTGTGGGTTGTCTTTCATCAACCACCCAGATTATAATGTAACATAATTATTACGACAAAAAATTGTCTTCCGAAAAATAAAAGTAACTGAAACGCAATAATCTTTTATATATAGACGTTTAAACTGAATGGCATGTACCCGTGAAACTCAGTATGGCAAACGTAACAAACAACTGAAAGTGAAAATAAGTGTGTTTGTGTGTATATGTGAATTAAATACTTCATTCATTTCTCTCTCTCTCTCTCTTTTTGTTTACATATTTCCATTCAACTTATCAATACTTATTTTGTTTAAATCAGTCATCAAAAAATAAGTTTTAGTTAGATTCAATCTGTTAGTTTTCATTTGTTTCTTCAAGGTAAACAAGTGAGGATGACTCTTCTCTTGGATTCAATTTTGGACAATTTTTATGCATAAAATTACGTGGTGCAATTGATCCATTTTGATTTGCCCTTTGAAAATATAAAAAAAGAGGAAAAAAGAGACATAAATTCATAAGTACAATAATTCAAATCTTCAAAAGAATGGTTACTGAACAAAGAATTTTATCATCAGGTTCTACAGTTATGTGTACGTAATAGTGGATGAATGAATTAGTGTTATGAACAACATTAATGTTGTTTAAATAATATCTGATCAATATTACTATCAATGGGTTACAGCTCGATAACATCAACATAACAATAAACTGAATATCAGAGAAATCAGGAAAGGTAATATTACCAATTCATAAATTTATAGTCTCTACTGAAGGTCAAGGAAGCAGTGGTGGCTTCTGCACACAAAGCACTGGTTGTTTCAGGTGAATCGCGATAGCCTTTGCTGTTTGGAGTATACGGTGCCTGGATGATTTTGGTGATTTATTTAGTACCCAGTAGAAGATAGAAAAGGATTCTTCAATGCTGCCTGACTTTGTGACCGGTTTGGACCAGGTGGTCTAGTAACGAACTGTTGATGGTTTTTACTACACCTTTACTTAGCCATAGTGGGAGATATTCTCGAGCACGAAAAATCAAGTTCCTAGAGCAACTGCCAATATAACTCGCTCCAACACAGGTGCACTTGAATTGGTAGATATAGTTTGAAGTGGCTAGTCTAGGTACTTCATCTTTCAGTCAAGATAGCACCATCGGTCGTGTAGAGATTAAGACGTTTATTTCACCAGCATCAAAAGTTCTTTGAACTGATATTCTTAACTTCTTCGTAATTATTTCGATAGGTATATCGCCCTTGAATTGGAGTCGTATGTATAAAGACTTCTTGTTTACGGATAGTGAGTAGTCCTTTTCTGCTTTCTTTGTTATGTGTTTCTCGATAAATTTGTCGCGATAGCTATTTTCTATCAAGGTATCCTATACAATGCTTAGCTCATCTTCTGGCCATATAGCTCTAACCCTGTAGCTGAGGTTCTTTTGTACTGGAGAAGAATGAAGCTGTGAAAGTGTGTATATTGTCCTGTCCATGTACTTTTCCTATGCAAATTTCTCTTTAATACTGCCATCAGGTTTCCTCGTAAGGAGGAGATCTAGAAAGGAAATTCTGTTTTGCGAGTCCTCTTAGCATGTGAATTTCATAGCATGCAGAACTGAAACTGTAACTGTCTTTATCTTTATCTTTTATAGATTCTTTGAGTTATTACCAATGGGGAGTTTTCAACTGAGGTGATTAAAAGTTCACGTAATTCTACGTAAGTTCCAACGCTATACAAACTGGAGTAAGCTAAAATAATAAAGTTGAAGCAGAATAAGGTGATATCATTTTCAAGTGTTGGTTTGCAGGGATTTGATTGATTTCAGGATTTCATCGTGAGCTGACATTAGTTAGAGAACCATTGGAAAACCTGGGAGTACTGGACAACTGTTTCGTCCTAGTTTGGGTCTCTTCATCAGTACGCACCCACCGGGATTCGAACCCAGGACCTTCCCGTTACAAGGCGAACTCGTATACCATTAGGCCACTGGGACCCGATTACTATTCAGGTAGGTAGTTGCCTGGGCTCCAGTGGGAAGCCGTGACCAGTAGGGTGCAGCAGGTCGGATGTGAGGGCAAATACTCGCCGAAGACACTGGCTACCGGTCGCGCTATGTCGTGTATTAACAGAAGTTAGATTTCAAGGACCATTGGATCGGGTCCCAGTGGCTTAATGGCTTACGAGCTCGCCTTGAAACCGGAAGGTCCTGGGTTCGAATCCCGGTGGGTGTGTACTGCTGAAGAGACCCAAACTAGGACGAAACAGCTGTCCAGTACTCCCAGGTTTTCCAATGGTTCTCTAACTAATGTCAGCTCACGATGAAATCCTGATATCATTTTATTTCGTCATCAGTCGTTTACAATCTACTAAAATGTTCAGTATGTGTACAGGAGAATTTGTAAAGTACTTGAAGAGGTAACATGATGTGAGTAATAAGAAGACTGCCAGTGACTTAATGGTGGCGTGTTCGTCTAGTAACTTAAAGATCCTTGATGTAGTCATTGGTACGTATTAGTCAGAACCTATCCTTCAGCCAAGTTGGTTCCCATGTATTGAAAAGCATCCTCTCTGGTACTAACGTCGATATGTATCCCTTTCATGTTGACTCTAATTTTCCATACAAATACACATGAATCTATGGCAGCGTTTACCTTAAAAGAAACTCAAAGAACACAAGCTTTTAGCCTACTTTTCAGTGGAGCAGATGGTTTCATGGAAGAATCGTTAGGCATCCCACTGATATGGGGTATCAAGTAGACACCTTTAAATCGCTTAAGATAGTCAATAAACGATATACTTCAATGCTTTTCAAACTCGCTAGAGTTTACTGTTATATTATTATTATTCCCTTGAGTTCTGAGTGGAAAGTAGGGCTTCATCAACACATCTCCATTTTGTACTATCCTCTGACGTTCTCTTCAGCTTGGACCACTATTGCCCACAATCTATCATCTCCTCATCATACGATCTCCTCCGTGACACCCTAGGACGACCGACTCGTCGCCTCCCATCGGGATTCCACTCGAGCGATGGCCTGCATTGCGCACGATGTCATTCGACGGTCTTCTCAATGTATGTCTAATCCATCTCCATTTTTTCCTCCATATTTGTTGAACGATCGATTCTTCGTTGGTTTGTTCCCGGCCAGAGTTTCTTGTTGCTAATTCATTCTGGACGACTGACCATTTCATCTTCAATATAGAGCCAGCCAGTAAAGGAGGCGGTTGTTGATAACAGTCTGCGATAGCTTGTTGTAAATGTTTTTCATGACACGCAGTGCAAGTTTCTGACCCCTATTGAAGAACTGACTGACTGTCTGATTTCACATTTGTGCTGAACGGAACCCGAGTCTTCTTATTTATGCTGACTGAGTGCAGAAGATTTCCAATCTAGTTTCATGTTGATGAAGGCGTATCTTGCCTTTCTGATTCCAACTAACTTTGACATCTTCATCCGATTCGACCTGTAGTTGAATCGACGCTTCCTGGCCAGATAAGTGAAGGAAGTGGCCTCTGTCAAATCCCCCACGTTGATGGTGACTGGTGCTGTTTGTTGTTATTGCTAAAGCTACTGCTATCAAACTCTTGAGGCTAGATTTCTGTTTTCACACAGATAAGAAGGTATCATTAGCTTTTCTTTTTATTTTATTCAACCTCACAAATGACGATAAATGTGTGTATGAGAGTTCGTTAAACTAGTGTTTATGCTAGGCGAAAAGACTATTCTTCAAACAAAGTTAAAATTCAAGGACCATTGGATCGGGTCCCAATGGCTCAATGGCTTACGAGCTCGCCTTGTAACCGGAAGGTCCTGGGTTCGAATCCCGGTGGGTGCTCACTGTTGAAGAGTCCCAAACTGGGACGAAACAGCTGTCCAGTACTCCCAGGTTTTCCAGTGGTTCTCTAACTGATGTCAGCTCATGATTAAATCCTCCATGAAATCTATACCTCTCAAATATTATTTTTTCAGCTGAAGCCCTATGTTCCTCTAGGAACTAAAGGATACAATAATATAATAATAATAATGATTCAACATTACTTGTTTCTGTCGAAAGTGGTCAAAATAATCAGAAAGTGTAGTCTGCTTACTTTTGGATCCGTAGGAAATTGAGTCTTTGCTTAAAATTCACTTAATAGTACAATTATATAAATGTAAACATTAGGAATTCATTGTTTTCTCTCTCTCTCTCTTCCTCAAGGATAAATAATTTCCTTCTTTTACCTTATTTTTACAATATTATTCCTTTCTGTTTACTTGCTCAACATACCGAAAGAAAATGTTCATTCTGTGTTGTTTTTATCTAAAAGTTTGAGGTAGATCTGATAATTTGAAAAAAAACCCACAAAAATTCTATTTTATGCGAATGAGATTCTATCTTACCGAACAACAGAGTAACTTTATGAAATACTATTGTTTGTCAATTGTATGATTTTATAAATAGAATAATACATTTCCTATTCTGGCGTCAGATGAAAAGGAAAACGGCTTACTAGATAGAAAGCCCCAGGGCTAGCTAGTTATCCACCCTACCAATACTCATCAGTGTGGGAGAAGTAAGTGACTGCTGAGAAATCTCAAACTAGTAAGAATGAAAGAAACTAGCAAATAAATATTTCTGCTGGTTACTTATATATTGAATGATAAATCTGTAGTTGAGTTAGATGGACAACGATATTGTGGATTAATAAACTTCCACAGAGTGCCGTTCAGCAACGACGCCAACTACCAGATTATTCTATGTATATTTTATAAATGTTGACAGTGACTTGGTAAACAGTAGAAAAGAAACAACTTAATGTCACCACACTATGCTAGTCAACAGAACAAAATCATGTTAGAAATAGTATTCTGGTAAGTAGAATGAAGTATGGTTGACGTACCAGATGGAATAATAGACAGTTTACTTCGCTTGTCAGTTAAATACATGCAGAATGTATAGACGATAGGGACACAAGAATGACAATAATAATAATATTAGTAAACAAAGAATTCAGCGAAGAAAATTCTCTTTCGACGATTTCATTTTCATAGCTGTACAATCGTATCTATAGATGAATTACAATAGACAAGAACAGTTAGTTTGTGTGTGTGTGTGTTAAAGTTTGACTTTTCTTTTCCTTCACGTTTCCAGTAGAACATAGGGCTACAAGCTAATGGCTTGAAGTTTCTGTATCAGTGTTTAATTTAAAAGGATGGGGTTGCTAACCTCATACCTAACCTCTCCTCTGTACCAGCATTATTTCTGGCATAGCAAGGTAAAGGAGTGCCTCGTCGGCCGGGGATCGAACCCCGGACAATGTGCATGGTCGGCGAGCGTCCTAACCGTTGTACCACCGATGCACAAAGTTTGACAGTTAAGTGGAAATACTTAAGTGAGATAATATTGGTGTTACAGGATTATGAGTCACAGTTGATTAGATATATCAATGAATACCTGAATAGATAGAGGTCAACCTAAAGTTCAATAGATAAATGTGGAATAGATGATCAAAAAATGAAGTACATTGGGAAATGTGAATATATGAATATGGTATGATGCAGACAATATGAAATGTGTAAAATGTCGTCAAAATAGTAGACTACATAAAACATTAGAATATGATAAGTGAAGTGAAATAAAACAAAAACAGAATCTGGAACAAGTAAGTTGGTATGTGAATTACAAGACCATGGTAACGGAAGAGATCGTACAATTTTCTTTTTGTACACAAAGTCCTGGTTTTATGTCATGTATTGTTAAAGCCTCTGGTATACAAAGTAAATGCACTCGTGTCCCTTTCGGCAGACTTTGTAGACAATATTGAACGATGTGCCAGATGTTGTGAGGTCATTTTCTACAATATGTTGCAATATGGATGAATTAATACTATGTAATTCGCATAACAACTTTCTTTTTTAGCCTTCTTTATTCCTTGTTCCGTTTTTTGTTTTATTTCATTTCACTTATCATATTCTAACATTTTATGTAACAACATTTCACTCATCCTATGTTTCCATCCTATTAAATTCACATTTCCCAATGTACTTTATTTTCCAATCATCTATTTCGCAGCTGTCTATTGAACCTTGGATGGACCTCTATGCATTTAGCTAGAGAGAATAAGACGTGTAGTTGGCCAGCATTAAAAGTTCTTTGTACTGATTTTCTTAATTTCCTCGTAATTACCTCACTTGGTTTATCGCCCTTGGTATATCATTTTCTGAAGCAAGTAGTTGTAAAGCAGATTTTCATTTAATCGTCAGTTTAACAACCATTATATTAGCTAAATCCCTAAGATTGAAAAATCATTTTTCACATCTGTCACTGCAATCATACAATTCTTTTCTTTTTAAATAGATCAGACTCGTCATCACTTTATATCCACTCAATACTACATGATTGTGGTTATTTGTCACCACTTGAACTTATATCCAGAGAATCCTATTTGTTTCATATTCTTTTATTTGTAATACTTATAGTTTCTGTCATGCTATTGTCGACAATTCACCTCTGGAAACCTTCAATTTTGTTGTTTATACAGTCATAAGCATGTCATTCCATTATTTATTAGTAAACCAAGATGATTTAGAGCGACCAATTGTAGTTTCGATAAATTCTTCCTCAGACCTCACAATTATAAGCCCATCAGTCCATTATAATACAAATAGCCATTAAAGGTATGTGAAATTGACATCGAAACTGTATTGTTGGAGCACATGTAAAGTGTGGAGTGATAGCGGGTTAATTAATATTGAATCTAAGGTGTGAATACATGAAATAATAACAATAGTTGTATGAAATGCAATTAAAACATATGTGATTATAATCATGTTTGAAAGTTAAATGGCAAAACAATTAATGTCATGTATAGAATAATTCCTATGATGAAAAGAAATAAGAAAGGCATAATATGACATGAAAATATGGACGATTATGTCCTTGCTGACCTTATAGTTGACCACCTAGTGTTCACTTTACTCCATTATTACTATTATTATGCGTCAACCCTTTGTAATTTGCACTAAGATCTATTATGTCTCTGCTATTTTATTAGAGTTCACAATTTGACCTCTTTATTTTATCACTACACTTGAGATCTGTCAGCCCTTACTTGAACCTGCATTCAATATTATTATTATATCCTTTAATTCTTAGAGGAACATAGGGCTTCAGCTGCGCATCTCCATTGCGTTCGGTTTTCTGCCAACTTTTTCACCCCGTTCCAAGTCTGCCCACATACGCTTTCATCTCCTGTTCACATGACCTCCTCCAAGTCATCCTTGCACTGACGACCGACTCGCCGCTTCCCTTTCGGGTTCCACTCGAGCAATGGCTTGTCTAGTGATGTCACTTGATGGTTTCCTCAGCGTATGGCCAATCCGTCTTCATTTCTTCCTGCCTATTTGTTTCACAATCGGTTCCTGCTTGGTTGGTTCGCTCATTGCCAGAGATCCCTGTTTCTGATCTTTTCTGGCCGGCCATCTGATCTTGAGTATTGAGCGAAGACAACTGTTAATGAAGGTCTGAAATTTGTTTGAGATGCTCTTTATGACGCGCTGGCCAAGTCTCTGATTCGTATAGTAGCACTGACTGACTTCACATTAGAGTTGAAAATCCGGATCTTATTTTCATTTTCATGCCGAGTGCTGTTGACCTCCATACAGACTTTAGAGTAATGAAAGCTTGTCTTGCTTTTCCGATTCTGGCTTTGAAATCCTCGTCAGTTCCGTTTGCCTGTAGTTGAAATGATGCTTCCCAGGTAGGTGAAGGAGGTTGTTTCTTTCAGGTTCCTCCCATTTATGCTGGCTGATTGTTGTCTGCTATTGTTGTTGTTGCTGTTGGTGTTGGCCAGGGATCTTCATCACCTCTGTTTTCTCTATGTTCACCTGAAGTCCGATCTTTGATGCTTCTTCTATCTCCAACTTGTTGCTTTTCACTTACATATCTTCCAGTTTGTAAGAAATCAGATATATATCGTCGGCGAATTCCAGATCCTCCAAGTCTCTTTTTGTGTGAGTCCATTTTATGCCTGCTTCCTCGTTGCCCGTTGTCCGTCGGATTATCCAATCTACTGCAATCAGGTAAACCATTGGCGATAGTAGACAGCCTTTTCTTACTAACATCCTCACTTCGAAGGATTCCGTAAGTTTCCCGTTGTGAATTACTTGGTGTGCAGTATTGTCATGCAACTGTTGGATGAGATGTATAATTGTCGATGGGACCCCGTAGTAGCGAAGTAGTTGCCAAATGACCTCTCGATCGACTCTGTCGACGGCCTTTTCAAAGTCGATGAAGTTGAGATAGAGAGGTGACTGGCATTACAAGGTTTTTTCAATGATGATCCCTAGAGTGGCGATTTGATCAATACATGACTTGTTTCTCCTGAATCTAGCTTGTTCCGGTCAAAGTTTTCCATTCAAATTGGCTTGTTTGATTCTCTCCAGGGTTCAGAAAGAAACAATTATCAATGTTTCTTTGCCCTGTTAACTGGATATTTTCACCCTCTCTATATCATCTGATAACGTAATGTCGAAAGTTTCCATTGTTCATGATCATTATTGCTAGGAATACTGTTTAATATTATATTATATATATTAATATATTATATATATAATATATGTATATATATATATAATTACTGTATGCATATATTGATTGATTGGTTTTTCGTTTAAAATGAATTCTGTGCAAGTATGTTAAAATTGTTTCTGTAGATATACTTAATAATAATTGTGACCTGTAAGCAGCTCATCTGATGAGAAGCCTAAGAAATAAGTGATGCTACCATTTTATTCTGCAAAAACTGTAATTCTCGCTTTATTCAAATTCATTAAGGGAAATAAATGTATGAAAAATAAAATTCATTGTTGGAATGATTTCTTCCACACATTGATTGAGATGAAGTGAATACAAATTTTCAGTCAAAGGCTAGTTAAAAATCATAAACCAATTCGTCAGCGTTATGTTACATCATTTGACTATTTGTATTTGATACAAGACCTCAGTCATCAGTTTAGATTCAGAACAAAATTAGAATAAATAACAACAGATAATAGACTGAAATCCTTTAAAATTTTTAAAAACAGTACAACTGAAAGCAATTTATTTAAACAATACATTTACTTTCAAGTACCTTTATAAGTTTAATGTTCATATATGAATATTTCTAACTTACACATCAAAACTTAAATAGGCTAACACTTGATTTATGTGTCCTTCTGGTATATCGTCAATTTTAGCCAGATAACGATAGAATTCTAACCATTGTTCAAATGGTAGTCTAGCAGCTCCACCTTCAGGATCAGCTGTTAAAAGTTCACATATCAATTTCAAGGTTTCTGATAATGTCTAAAAAAATAAATAAACAAATAAATAAAGTTAGATTGTTAAAACACCTTGATTATATATTGTATGAGTTTCTTTAAGTTGAAATTCATTGATTAAGACCTTTCATTATCATTATTATTATTAGTTTGAATGTTCTCTTATTTAGAGGTTTTAAAGAAGGTAAATTTTAAAATAAATCGCTTTGTTAGGACGGAAAAGCTTTTTTGCTACCTGAAAAGTTGTGATTTGTCTGTGTTTTTACATAGTAGTCTTATTGGAGAGTTTTAATTCACCAATTTATAGCTAAGTTTTCCGAGGGATTTTCATATCATGCAGTCAGTCGGATTTGTTATATTCAGGGCTTAAATTTGTGAGGATTTTGTGAGTATAGTATACCATGTATTATGTCTAATAAGACTTTTTTCATCTTAATCGTCAGTCTCAGTGGGAGAGATATTTTCAGGTGGTCAACTGATTATAATGTCATGTTCTGGAGGCGCATAACCCAGTATGACTCCGTTCTAACGCACTTGTAAAAGACACAATGGGAAAAGAGTTAGCCAAACAGGTAAACCAAATCATTATATTGTGATTCACAAGATCAGAAATATTAACATTTTCAAAAGAAGAAACGATATGGACAGAGTGGTGCTATAATAATATGTATTACGAGAATTGAATAAGAAATACTGTTTAAAATATAAAAGTTACGAACAGTGAACACATCTGCACTACAACAGTTAGCTTTAAGAAATTTTGCTGAATCTCAAGACATATATAGACCTTCAGTAATCTGCATAGTTCTACAGCATCTGAATGTTCTGCATGTTACTGCCTCCCATTTTACAGAGATTATCTCGGCTGATGTATATGCTTTTTTTGAAGAGACTTTGACTCTAATCAGCAGGATGTACTGTAGCTTCATTTCACATGTAAATCCAAACAGCAGTGACTAATATAGTTGATTCTATTCAGTGTTGTTTGTGAAATCACGTGAAACAAATAAGTAGAGGTAAAAAGAGGCTTTCCCTGCCTTATTAAACTTCTCAAATGACAAAATATATCAGGCGATACATTGCTTGAAATATAAAACATAACTTTATTTTTCATTATGAAATCCACTTGTAAATTACGGTGCAATTATTATCTGTATCACGCGTTTTTGAAATGTTTTTGAATCTGTACATGTAGGATTGGTTTTGTAAACCTTCTTTTAATCTGATTTACTCATAATATCACAAAGTATGTTGATGCGGCTAATCGCTTTGAGCATGCCAAGTGGATTAAAACAATTCTGGTTCTGTTGTACTTAAATAAGACTTTTAATCGACTCATAAAATAATGAATAAGTGGTAAATGACTGTTTCTACTACTGTGCTATGTAAATTTTCATTGTTTATTTATCGTAAATACACAGCAGCAATAGCTATTTTAACCAAATATGGAATTCTGACTTCTGTACCCTCAAGGTAGTCGCCTAAATTACTGGAATTTCGCCATTCATGAAATCATACACAAGTAATTTTTATAGAATGCGTACGGTTATTTTTAAGAGTTAATTTAACAAGATTAAATGTAAGACATTTTTAGTGAATATGAGGTCAAATGATACTAAATTAAAACGAAATTTAACGCTCACTTCCCATGCTACTGTAAAGTCTTCTACCCAAGCAACCCTACTAATAAAAAGGTTGAAAGTATTTCACAACAGACAATCAAAGTAAGTAAAATGGGATTGGTGAAGTATGGTAAAACATTACCTGGCGTTTTATAAATTTGCCTGTGTATATTTAACAGAAACTGACTCATATGACATCAGGTACAGGGTAAAGCTGTGTAAAGTTTTGAATATAGAATAAATATACAATATTCAAGTATTGATTTTTGTGGGAATTTCTTGTTTGATTGTTTGGAGGATTTCATCATGAGCTGACATCAGTTAGAGAACCATTGGAAGACCTGGGAGTAATGGGCAGCCATTTCTTCCTGGTATGGGACTCTTTAGCAGCACGCACCCACTGGAGTTCAGACCAAGGACCTCCAGGTTACAAGGCTAGTGAGCTCGTAGACCATTAGGTCACTGTGACTTGATTTAGTGGATCATTGGTTCTCTCTGTTGTTTAAGGCTTGTCCTCATTTTTTCAGACACTGAAGCATTTTTTGGTATTTTATGTGATACGGCTCGCCTCATATGTACAAATATAAAACTAAGCCTAGGTTACAAGCTTTTAATCTAGTTCACCTTTCCAACATGTTTTGTTTGTTATAGAACCACAGATAACGTCGAGTTGAGACGACATGGAAAGTTATTTGCTAGGGAGGTAAATCAGGTGATGATGTGGTTAGGCTTCAACAGATAAGACTTTTCTAGTACGCACTGCGCATTAACTTCTAGCAACGAGTTTCAAGTCGTTATAAAATTCTGAACACTGCTGTTAATCTTCATTTAAGTACTGTTATAATGTTCTCGTTTCCCTGTTGTGGTGTTATCCCGTATCTCTTCGCCTTTTGTGATGCAGCAATTCGAAATAGAGCGGCCGTGAAAAGTGCTTCTCACCAACTGAGGTGAGTAAGTAAGTACCTACGGAAAGACTAGGTTCAATACTAGGTTGATATCACTTTCTTCCATTAAAAAAGCTTGACTTACGGTGTCATTCTATATTCACCAACTGTTCTTGTACTAAATGATCCTACCAATGTAAATAAATTCTTGTAGCGTTATGTTTTTACATATTTTTGAAAACTGAAAATATGGATACTTACGGCACATAAATCAGATGCAGCAATAGCCAAGAACCATCGCCATTCGCAGGAATTTACAAAATTGCCAATACGACATATTTCCTGGAATCGCTCAACGGGTAGTGATAAATCCCTCCACTTTTCTTCGACAACAGGTAGCGGAACTATTTTCATGGAAGCTAGCTAAAACAATTAAGTAAAATGGAAAAATGTTCGCAACACATTTGTTAGACCTAAGTTTTCTAAAAAACATATCAAAAAATGAATATGTAAAAAAGTGTAGAAATAAGTGGAGCAATAAACCAAAGACCAATTTCATGTTCATAAATTTGTCAGTAAAGTATTTATTTAGTTGAATAAAATACTGTATGTTGCATATTAGAAACCTGAATGAGAACTAAGAAAGCCAGTCATTGAGACTTATACCTGCAACTTACTCAGTAAAACTGAAGTCTGGCACACTATACTATTACTGCCTGTTGAATGTATTTTTTTCAAATAACATTAAATGCAGTAACACATTAATAACTTTTAACAAAGGATTTTTTTTAGCTTATTGAATATGAACCAAATTTACTACACAGTTTGGAGCTTTTCTAAAACTGCCTTTAAAAAACACTAGCACGGGTAGATTTAACCACTGCATAATGCTGAAACGGCTAATAAATATTAGTATTGCTACTTTTATGATATTTTTGGGATGGACAAGTGAATTCAAATTCACTTCTTCAGTGATCACTGAAGTTTAAAGGAATTAGTACTTGGAATACTCTGTGCAGGTAAAATACACATTCTAGAGGAAATAGTTTTTGTTCGGAAATAAGACATCAATTAGTTACGTAAAATCAGTGATTATCAAAACTAGTTTTGTTCCTACACTAAAAATTAATGTAATTATTAAAATGGCTATGCACTGTGTGGACTGATAGATACCAAATAATAAATTCAGAATTATTTAGCTTGTTTGTTAAAAGTTAATGAGTAACGAAAAAAAACCTATTACATAGTAATTTGATTGCTAAATATTTATAAACTCACCTGATTATTTAAAATTCTGAGTGTGCCTGGCGTAAGGCCTGTGTCTGTCTTTTGTGTACTAATGGGAACTTCTAGACGTTCTTTAACGGGTGGCACTTCGCTTTGTGCCATTGCTTTGAAATACCTATTACAAAAATTATAAGAAATAAAAATCGTCATTACGCGTAAGACCACTTAAGGACATCTTTTGGTTGTGTCCGAATGGCTGCCTTCGTAAATTGTTTCAAAATATCTGGTAGAGCAGGAGGTATGGGGATTTGTTCGTGACAGTAATAAGGATCATTAGAAATAGGCATTAAAATTGAAATTATGATTAACCCTGAGGTCATAGAAACTGGTAGTTCACTAAATTATAACAAAAATTCTAAGCAAAATGTTTTTGATGAACTTGAGTTGCCTTAGCATTTGTGGCAATCTTATTTTCAGTGCTGAAGAAATATTTCATATATTTGACTTATATCGTGACGGTGAGCCTGTCTGTTGTCTTATTTTATGAATGGTTATATTCCCTAACTCATGTCACCAGTTTAGAGGCTAAGTCCTTAGTTTTCCTATTATTTTATAGACCAGATAAAATGTGGGATAAATACCAAGAAAAAATGGATAAATTAATCCCACAGCTCGTATAATTACAAATGTCATTTGTAGTTTATGGTGTTTATCGAATTATTGTTAGTTGAAAGTGTGACATTTAGCAAACGTCCTGTGAGACTGTGACATCATACCCAAGTAATAAACACCCTCTTCATATATTGAATCGAAATTCAAGCTTGAATAAGAAAAATCCACATTTAACTAGTGACTTAGGGCGATTCATCCACTGCTGTCTGTACAGTCATTTGATCGCCACCTAACTAACTGACCGAAAGTTAGCGATGCTATGAGTTTTCAAGCTGTGTGAGTTAATGTCCTCATGGACAATAACGAGTTTTCTTGAGTTAAAACTGGGTATAAGACGGTTGATAAAAGCTCAGCGGTAAGCCTGGGATAAGATGTAACGACGTCTAGGGTTACGCATGATAACCTGTATATGAGTGGAAGTGCTTTTCCTCCAACTCTCAAAGTAATCAATCTGCTAACATTAGAGACATGAAAACAGCAGATTTATCTTCAAGAGTACCAGATATATTTCGGAATTTTAAACATGCAGCGATGTTGATTGTTGGGGTTCATGCACGACAGGCTGAACATATAACAACAGTGTGTGGAAAGGTGTGAATGCTTGACTGCGTCGCTTCAACCTGGCGAGGAAACTCAAACACTGAAAGTCACCATCCACTGCTGAATGATCGAAGCAGTAGGTTGATAACTGTGGGGGATTATTTACACACTTAACAGGATGCGAAGAGTAGGTTGTCTATGGAGCATAAATGGATCTGAGAAGTCAATCAAACAACGAAGTGTGGGGTAATGAAGGATCAATCAACGTGAACCTTACTAGCAGTAATAGCGTAAATTTCAGTAACCCATGTTTCTTCGTGTTCATTGAGGGACTTTTCATTCAAAGAGTTAAATGTGTGAAGTTATAACGATCAGTGCGTTGAAAGTCTACAAACAGTGCAAATTTTAATCCTCGCTAGACGGATATCTCATGACCACGTTGATAAATCCTAGTCAATGGACTAAAAGACTGCCCACCTAGCGCGCTGGACGATACCACGATGGTCCCAATACACAAAAACTTTAGTTTAGTTACTATGAGACTGTTGACACCTACCTAATTAAACTTTAAGAGACGAGGAAAAGCAAAATTATCCTATAGGAGCAATGCGTAGGGGCTCTCTGAAGCCTTCTATGTCATCATTTTCAGCAGAATGGAATAGATGTATCCTCTATTTACACTTGAAGGGTAGTGATAAAATTCCTGTAAAGCTGTAGCATGTGTGCGCGGCTGGTTTAATGCATTTAGAACAAATCTGCCCACACACCACTAACGTCAACTCCCGACGAGTCTCCTAGACATACACTGCTTCTTTGGGAATAGCGTGATAGAAAGTGGTAAGGGCGAGGCAAGTTTTGGTGTTAAATGTGGCGGTGAAAAATTGAAGGAAAAAGGTCTTGGAATACCCACGCTTTCCAGGGCCCGAAGCGACTTAATCACGGCTTACTAATTTAAAGGTGTCTGTGGCAAACTTGTAGGAATCATTCATGAAATAGCTAAGTAAAGAGCTCGTCTCCATTTGTTTTCGCACCGAGTTTGTGGCGTTCTTCATGGATGTTCGACAACTGTGGCCGTCATATACCACTGAAGCGCTTCAAGAAATTGAATGTTGACCATACAGCAGTGAGATCGTGTTAAGAAGTCAGTTAATCGTGATCAAGTGGAAACTTAGCTCATTTATTGAGTATTCCTGACGAGCGCCGTCATCCAACCGGTCACTTAGTTGCCTCAGGATTTTTTACCCCACTATTATCCTCAATTGTCCAGAATTTATTTTGTCATTTCCCATCCACCGTTTTTAATTTATTCTTATCAACTAAAAGCTCATCACTCCTTAAAGCCTAACATTCACTCCTAGTTCTAACACGAAAATTCATTTTTTTACAGGTTTTTGTTCCAATATCCTGATTTCCAAAGCGACGAATTTGTTTCCACATTACTTCTACACTGGGCTTTTGTTTCTCATGCCCGGTTATCTCAGACCGATACCATAGCTTCTAGTTCCACTGTTCAATCAGTATCCAACTAACTCAATCAGTTATTTGGCTGTGAAGCTGACAAGCATAAAAGTTTATGGCTGAGTTAACATTCTTTTTCACATAATTCATCTCTGTCTTTTAATTCCATTAAGCGAATATCCCGTTGTGTTTTTTTTTGTTGCTAGCTCACCAAAGTCTATAGCTTCTGTGTGCTATGTTATAGTGATAGATCCAACCAGGGAGCTTAAAGTCAGTCCGCCAAAGGCGATCATCTTCACATTTGAGCAAATAATCGCTGTTCCATCATTATTCCTGGGCTCCGTCCTTCCATTAGCAAGACGCATGATATATATGTAGTCTAATAATTAGTATAAGGAACTACGCCTTTGGACACAATTTTCTCTGTCGGCTGACGGACTTCACATACAATGATAGGGTGCCGAACCTTATTATGGGCTTGAATATGATTACTGGTATCTTCAATATATTTGCATATTGTGGCCTGAAGAGAGGCTCAGATATCGGATTACCACGAAATTTAGCGAGCGTGCAGATGACGGTTATTAGGGATGCAAAGAAGGCGGATTCTGTGACCATCAGGAAACCAGTTAGCTGGGCCGCTTGTATGGTTTCGAGGTCGCCTCCAACTGGTTTTGATAAGATGTAACGTTCATGATGGATGTGTTCAACAATCCTGCTAGACCTGGGCGCTAGCCATACTGCTTACTGACTGTCTAACATGGCCCACTTAACCTGGTGGACAGGCTGTTTTTAACACCGCCCCAGCTAGCTAAGGGAGAATATAAAACATACAGCTGGTGAAAAATGTATTTATGGACTACGATTTGAGGAGACTGTACTAGTAGACGGTCACACCACGACGAAGGTGCTAAGCTCTTGTCCCTCGAAAATGATCTTGAACACCATGTCTTTCGCTCAACAAGGATGAACAAAATCACCGCTGACAGTAAAACGGCCGAGGTTTATTTAAGTTGGTGAACTTCTTTGATCTCCTACGTGAAATCAGCCAGTTGCGGGAAGTATACCAATAACTAAAACATTTCGCCTCTCCGGTCTGGCAATGGAACCTGGGGAATATACGTAAAACGATACTTGATCCCGCCCCACAAACAGTAGCGTGAGTGGTAGGTGGTCAAAACACTGTCGGATGACTGTGTCCACTTGAGGATATAAAAGTGTATGACAGAATAGTAGAGCCCTGGAGCAGGCTAAGTCAACCGACCCTAAAAGCTTCCTGAGGGATCAAGGGCAACTAAAGGGTGAAGGCGGAATACCGGTTGATCAGCTAAGCCACATCATTATTCTCGGCGTGCTGGGGATAGCCACCTCCTACCAGAACAATAGGACCTTTTCGAACGGCAGCATCGAGATCATTTTTGCGTGAAGTGGGGGGAAAACTCTATCGTCGTGAAGTAACCGTGCAAATCTTGCTGATGGTAACATCGAGTTGCGGAAAAAAAGTAAGGCTTTTTTGCTATTCTCCATGGTCTAGCAATATAGATGGGGCTGAATGGGATCGGCCTCTTGGCTGCCTATAGACTTGTTTGCTCAACTGATCACGCTTAATTGCGGCGAAAATTCGGCTCTTTGAAGAAAGTGAATAAAATGCGTCGACTGAGGTGTCTAAACAAAGGAAACATTTATCGGAATAGAAGGTAAAGTCAACATCGAACTCATGAGAAGCAGTAAACATGTTTCAGTGAGTCCAATACTGAGGTCTCACACGGAAGAGGACGACAGTCACGGTGATGGAAGCATCTCGATAAGATTGCTCAACTGTAACATCGACCAAAAGAATATTGGACCAATTTCACATGAACTGCACGATAGTCCGATTTTTTCGACCGCAATTTTCGATTAATGCGTTACAATTGCTTGATTACATAAAATCTTATTTCTCTGGTGTTTCTAACCACGAAGGTTTGGAAATTATTGCAATCCGTTTACTTTCAAACAGTGAATTTGTGGATATATTATAATCGACTACTAATACCTATAACTAACTGTTTGGCATTTTGCGAACTTTTAACACTAATTCATATCTGTGATTGTATATATTGTTAGACTTATATGTTCAAGTTGGCTCAAGTCAGTAGGTCTATGGTTTTGGTATCATTTTTGTTAACTGTGCTTAACTGTATTGCATGTTGCTGTATTTTATTTTTGTTGTCGCTTTTTGCCCTATTTGCAGTGAAGTATTTTCCTTTTACTGGTGTTGTTCTGATTGTTTTATCCGTTGTATTCTGATTTTAAGGGGAGCAACCCAAAAGGTTGCTTCTCTCTAAACTTTATCTTGATGTAACAATTCCTTTCTCAGGCGTGAGGCTAGCAAACCCACCCTGTAAATAAAGTTGCTACAGAAACTTCAGGACGACCAATCTCTTTGCGCCAAAAGAAAAGTCTGTGTTGGGACATGGAATGTCCACACTATGTAAGAGATTGGCAAAGCTGCCCAGATCGCTAAGGAGATGAAAAGATACGGAATTCAAGTACTGGGAATATGTGAAAGCAGATGGAACGGGAATGGACTCATCAAATTGTCAATGGGTGAGTCAGTGATCTACTCCAGCACTCTGTATCCCGGTACGTTCAACGTTTGCGTTACATTTTTACGTGATTCGTTACATAAAATTTATCTTGTTGTAGTACTTGCACAAGTACTATACCACTTCCATACTTGTAACCACTAACACTCATTTCTAATAGTTATGGTTAATCAAAGTAAAAAGCAACGAACCCAATCCCCTGTAAAACTGGTGTCTAATTTAACGTCCTTGATTGCTACATCAAGCAACACACCCCCTAACAAACGGCTATAGTGAGTCACATAACTCACTTGTATGCCGTAAG